ATGCTTGCTGTCCAGTGTGTAGACACTGTGCCTTTGCTTCCATTCTTTCCCAAGTTCCTCCCACTCTGCCTGTCTGGAGATTGAAGAGGCAGAGAATGGCTGGAGGCATGTTCCCCGAGGGTGCTCAGGTCGTATTTGGCAAAGCGAGTAGGGCAGCCACCTGAGGAGCTCCTACCTGGGGGCTTAGAGCGATGATGTGCGGAGATTCAGAAGCTCTGGCCTTCAAGGAACTTACATGCCAGTGTGGGGAAGCAGACCGGTGAGGAGCGCAGGGAAGCATGATAGGTGCTCTGAGAGGGATATGTGGAGGGACACGTCAGGTGGGAGAGGGAGTGGACTTCATCCAGAAAGGGACTGATGACCCAGCAGGCCCCAGTGAAGAGAGATGGGACTGAATCAGGAGGCTGAAGCTAGATTATGGAGGCCATTCAATGACAACCTGAGGACACCCACCACACAGATTGAACCCAGCTGATGCCCCCAGGTCTTGCCAGCTTTTAGTTTTGCTCCCTCAGGAAGTCTCTGGTGTAATGCCAAGCTGTTGAGGCAAAGGAGCTAACTGTGGAGCCATCTTATCTGCCTAGGGGTGTCTGTGCTTGGGAGGGTGCCGAGTTTTTGCAGGGGGCCCTGGCCTTCTCCCGTAGAGCCTCCCTTCCACCTCGCCCATGTTCCCAGGGCCCTGGAACAAGTGACTGACCCTGTAGATAAGAATAGTGGCTGTACTTCCCAACCATAAGTCCAGCGGGACATAGGTATGATAGTGGTCTGGACAATGGGCAGTCAGGGACTTCTCAGAACAGTAGAGGAGGTGGGGGATATCTTCTAGATCTTGGGTCTGAATCCCAGTGCTAAGCGCTGGGAATGCAAGATTAACCGATGTAACACTGACACTATGTCTAAAGCTCTGCTAGAATAAATAGATGTTCTCCTCCACCTGCTTTCTTGGGCTGAGAATCCAGGTGAAACAGCTGTATCTTTCCCCCACTCAGCACCTCCCCATAACAGAGATGCCCGCCCCTCCCCTAAGGCCTTCACCCCTTCCACCTGGGCTGCCGGGATTCTCTAATTATTCTACACTTTAATAAGGCACAGAGGGCTCATTATGTAAATTCAGGCAAAAAAAAAAAAACCACCCCAAAACCCAAATCATGAATCGCATCTGTATTAATAAACATTGTAATTAACACTTACCAACTGCCAACAAAGTGTTAGATGTAAATAACAGGTGGATGCAGGTTGAAGTAATGAGACTAGAAAGCCACCACTTCCTTTCTACTCCGTCCAGGAATTTCAAGAAATAGTTCAAATGCTATCTCCTTTTATTCATTCATTTATTTATGTTTGTTTTTTTAAGTAGCCTTCACTCTAGTGCAAAGCCCAGTGTGGGGCTCAAACTCAAGACAGTGAGATCAAGACCTGAGCAGAGATCGAGAGACCGATGCTCAACTATCTGAGCCACCCAGGCACCCCGATAGCTCATTTAAAAATATTTTATTTTAAAGATTTTATTTATTTATTTGATAGAGAGAGACACTATAAGAGAGGGAACACAGGCAGGGGGAGTGGAGAAGCAGGCTTCCTGCTGAACAGGGAGCCCAATGTGGGATTCGATCCCATGACCCTGGGATCATGACCCCAGCTGAAGGCAGATGCTTAACAACTAAGCCACCCAGGCGCCCCCAAATTTTTAATTTATTTACTTAATCTCTACACCTAGTGTGGGGCTTGAACTCATAACCCCAAGATCAAGAGTCACATGCTTTTCCAGCTGAGCCAGCCAAGTGCCACCCTACTATCTCTTTTTAAAAACAAGCTTATAGCGGAGTCTGGGGGGCTTAGTTAAGTGTCCAGCCCTTGATTTCAGCTCAGGTCATGATCTCAGGGCCCTGATTTCAGGGTCGTGATATTGAGTCCTGCATCAGGCTTTGCGCTGGGCATGGAGCCGCTTAAGATTCTGTCACACCTTCTGACCCTCCTTGCTCAGTGTACACACTCTCTCTGTCTCTCAAAACAAACAAACAAACAAACAAACAAAAAACCCAAAGCCCACCGCAATCTTATAAATTCTCCTGAACTCTGAAACCATTAGTAGTTTATTCATTGAAACGACTAGTACATTTACCATTGTTTGCTATTTAAACATATTTAATAGTAATTTAATATTTGTGTGATGCCTCTTATCTTAGATTCATTTATGCATTCAGCAGCTAGTTAATATATGTGGTAGGCATTGTTCTAGGCACCAGGATACAGCAGTGAGGAAATAAGACAAAGTTCCTTATCTTAGGAAGTTTACATTGTGGTGGACAAAGACAGATAATAAGAAAATCAACAAATACACGCACAAAATATTAAACGGTGAGAAGTGGTGTAGGAAAATGTAAAGTGAGGTAAGGAGAATAGGGAGTGTGTGTGTGTTCCTTTCCTTCTGTGGCCAGGCTTCACTGATCAGGTGACATTTGAATGACAGAATTTATTGATTGTTTACATATACGGCATGAGAGAAAGAGGTAACAATCTGGCTCCTGGGCTTTTTACTTGAGCAACTGAAAAAATGGAATTGCCACACACTGATATAGAGGAAGCCTTAGAAATACAGAGCAAGTTTGGGAATTGATTTTGGACATGTGATGTCAAGTAGGCAGTTAAATGCCCATGTGGAATCCAGAGGAAAGTTTGAGACTGGAGATATAAATTTAGGAATCCTTAACCCCTAGATTTTTCAAAACCCAAACTAGCTGTAACCACCAAAGGAATGAGTGTGGACAGAGAAGAGATCCAAGGACAGAGCATGGGCATGGGCAAGGGCATGCCTCCACTGAAAGGTGGGTGAGGTGAAAACAGAGAAAGGATTGCTGATGAGGAAAGAGAAGAACGAGGAGAGTGGATACCTGCACACCAGGTGAAGAAAGTTTTTCAAGGAGTGAGCCACTGTGTAAAATAATACTGACTGATGCTGAGTAACAGAAAGCTCAAGTATTGACCATGGGGCTTGGTACTGTAAAGATCATTAGGCCCTCACCAGAGTGGCTTCTACTGAGAGGAGGAAGGAGGGAGGCAAAAGTTGGATGCCAGATTCTGAGGGAGAGAGAGAGAGAGAGAGAGAGAGAGAGAGAGAGATATGTCTTAATCCATTGATTGGATACTGGTTTTGAAGAAATCAGCTATAAAAGATAATTTGAGTATGGACTAGATATTAGGAAACTATTATTAATTTTTGGGAGTGAAAATACTATTATTGTTATAATCTTAGTCTTGACACATACCTACTTAAATGTGTAGGGGTGAAGGGTTGTGATATCTGCAATTTAATTTCACACAGCTTAGCAAAAAACCATATATATAAAATATATTTTAAAATATATTTTTCAGACTACATAGCAGAATGTCAACGTTTGTTGAATTGGGCATATAGCGTGTTCATTGCACTATCCTTTCAACTTTTTGATATGTTCGAAATGCTTTTTTATAGAAAACTTGGGGAAAATTCAGACTCTGGGCCTCAGTGGTGGCAAATGGATTTTTTTATAAGTTTTTTTTAAAGACTTTATTTAATTGACAGACAGAGATCACATAGTAGGCAGAGAGGCAGGCAGAGAGAGAGGGTAAGCAGGCTCCCTGCTGAGCAGAGAGCCCAATGCTGGGCTTTATCCCAGGACCCTGGGATCATGACCCGAGCCGAAGGCAGCGGCTTAACCCCCTGAGCCACCCAGGTGCCCCGGCAAATGGATTTTTAAAAGACCACAGGTGACTCTGATATACCATCAGGGATGAGAACCACTGAATCAATGCCCCACTGAGCATGAAACTGAGGTGTGAATAGTTGAAAGACTTTCCAAAGGAAGAACAAAGGCTAAAATGCATGTTTCTTGACTTCCAGTTCTGTGTACTTTTCTGGTATATCCTCTAAAGGAATTTCCTAGATAAGAAACCTGACCTTCTTGAACACCTAAAACTCTTTGTCAGCAGATGAGTTTGCACAATGCAAAGAAGGATTTGGGCACTTAGGGGTACTCACTTGTTAGAGTCAGGTTATCAGAGGACCAAAAATCATTAGAGGGTTAAAAAACTGTAAGGTACTAAGGACAAGTACAGTCCTAATTAAAAAAAAAAAAAAAAAAAAGAATTGAATTATATTGTCCTAAAGAGCTAAATTTTATTTTAAATAATTTTATTACTTTTTGTGATGATAATCAATGAGATTGAATTTTATTTCACACAGTTGTAAGATTTAATATCTAGACAAAACCAAAGATTAGGAAAAAATTCCAAAGTCCTGATTATTGGGAAATGAGGTTACAGATGAAGTTCTTGGTGTTGAAAGAGCCCGGGTTTCTTGCAGAGCAATATGAAGAACTGAAGATGCAGATTACTACTAGGTCCCAATGTCTGGTGGGAAAGACAAGAGTCTTGGCCATCAGACAAGACCTGAGTTGGAATTCTGACTCTGCCATTGACTGGTTCGGTGACATTAGGCAAGTTATGTGAGCGCCTGAAATCTGTTATTCAGCCCCTTTTACAGGCACGAGGTGCTGGGATGCAGTTAACATAGATGCACAAGGTGGTGCCGTCTTAGAAATCCAACAGGCAACTAAGGAATGGGGGATATTCAGGCGGGGGTTCTAACTCCAAAGGGACTGAGAGCAGCTCTTAACCAGGTGAAGTTGGATGGCGAGAGGCAAAAGAAGGCAACATTTTAAGGAAATATGGGGGAGTCGTGGAGCCTACAGCAGCTGAGAAACATAAAGTTTTTGCGGCTTTAATGCTGGTGATGGCGATTAGTTAGTGAAACAAGTATGGAAAAGCCTAACTCTGACCCAGAAATAAGACGCAGGGCTTGGGGCGTGAACCTGAGCGCTTTAAACTCTCTTTGCTTGGGAAGGGGACTCCAACATCCAGCACCACAGAAGTAAAACGCCTGGCCTGCGATGAACACAACAAACAGGTGGCGACCGGACTGGACGCTTAAGTTGGGGGGGCGTGGCTCCAGGCAGCTCCTCGACGTTCTCTTCCGGAACAGGCCTGTGCCCCGGAAGCAGTTGTTTGTTGAGCGACTCTGGGCCCGTTTAGGAGACTGCGGGTGTATTGTCACCATGTTCCTGTCCGCGGTCACCTGTAAGTGGGGCTGGAGGCGGCGGCAGGGCCTGCGGCGTGGGCGGGAGGAAGGCGTCGGGACGGTGCGGGGCCGGGGGCGCGCGCCGGCCGGGAAGGCTGCCGCTACGACTCTCCTAGGCTTCAGGACTACAGCGTCCGGCATGCCCCGCGGCGCAGCGCCTTGCGGGGCGGGTTGCGTATGGGGGTCTGCGGCGCTAGTTCTTGGCCGGGTGGGTTCCGAGACAGCGGTCGAGTCTGGTCAGCAGTAATGGGGCGCTTTCCCCGCCCTCCGTACGGATGTGGTAGCACAATTCCCGAACGTCCTAACTGGGGGTGGGGGGAACCCTCAGAATTTTTAGTTAACTCGTTTCAAATTCTGAAGATGAGGAAATGGCTTGAGACGGGCAGTAACTTACCCTAAGTCAGTACAGTTGGGCTGGGAAAGAAGTGTCTGTCTCCCCAGGTCCTCTCTCTTCCCTGCACCAGGTCAACTTCTAGGTTAGTTTCCCTCCTCCACCTGATGTGGTGGTTGCAGTGTGCATGGGTTAACTTGTCAAACCAGTGGCTTGTTCCAGGGCAAATATTTTGCACCTTAGAAGAGGAACATGTGGAACAGATCTTAGAGAGATTTGAAAAGTAACCGGTCCAACCGAAGAGAGATTGTGCAAAGCATTGCATCCAGAAATGTTTTGGTCTTATTGGATCTTTGTCTTCTTTCTAGAATCCTAGGGGGATCTCTGCAAGCTAGGGAGTAGTTACCTGAGTGACAACCCACTGCATACTTCATCACTTACCTGTTTATTACAGACATTAATATGAACTTTGCATAAAAAAGATAATAAGTTGCTATTTTCTTTTCTCTTTCAATCTTCCTCTCTGCGAGAAAGTTGCCAAGAGCAAGTCAAAGTAAGTAAGGTTTTCTTTTTTTTTAAACTTTATTTGTTTATGTTTGGTTTGTTTTTCCAGCCGTTGGCAACACATCGTTATGTTAAACTAAGCATTTGGTCTCGATTTTCTGAAAGTTGGTTCGAGGCTTACTTAGTTGGTGAATTGTTTTGGCTCTGTAAAGTCTTTGAAAAAATATTTCCCCTCCTGCCCAACTGACCTACTTAAGTGAGTGTTCAAATAACCGAAGGAACTCTTGCTGTCTTGTTCCTAATCAAGCCATCAGGGTTCCCATGCTCTCTTTGGATTACCGCCATATTTCTGCTTCTTCAGAGGGAGGACCGGGGGCCATTTGTCTGAGGACAGGGATCTGGCTTAACAAACTGTGATTTGATTGAACTACAGAGTCAGTTTTAATGAGTTTTGTAATCCTTTGCATTCATGGAATAAGCATTTCAAAAACAGCGCAGATTAAAGAGTCCATGCTATACCAGAGATACTGTAAATACCAAACTGGCATCTCAAAATAAATTTTGTAGATAATAACTGAAGTAAGATTTTATGTGTTAAAAATAGGAGAATTCTTTTGCAGGAAAAAAAAAAAAGGAACATTCTAAAGCAGCCTTTGCTTACAACCCAAGACATATCACAGTTCATAAAACTAGGTTTTTTGGATGAAAGTTAATGAAAAACATGTAAGTTAGTGTTTTCTCCCATATAGGTTTTATTAATTTTCTTTTCCCACAGTCCAGTTATTTATGTTAGAATTCCCCACCTCAGGGTTCTGTAGGAATCTCCCTGCCTTTGGTTGCTTTAGAGGTACTTCCTGCCTTTCATGTTCTTTGTATCCTTGGAGCATCTATCAGATATGTCTTGCCTTATATACCTCGCATACACAACTCACCTCCATACTATTCTGTTGGTCCCTGGAGGGGGGAGGGACAGACTAACAGAGCTCCTCATTTTCCCTAGTGCATTCCACAGAGTAAGCACTTAATAGGTATTTGTTAAATCTTTCTGAATGAATGACTGCTGTCTTTCTTAATTAACACATATTGTGTGCCTCTTATGTATGAGGTACTGTGCTGGACATTGAAAGGGAGGCAAAGATGTGTATCAGTAGATGCTACAAACTCTTTTTGGAACTAGATGAGAAATAAAATAGCCTGGTCTGCATAGGGAAGCCAGACATGAAAAAGTAACAGTACAAGGTATTAAAGGCAATGATGAACTAGTGAGGCAAAACATGAACTTTATGTTTTGGATGACTATAAGTTCAACAAAATATGAAGGAGAGCAAGGTTTTACATGTTAGCAATGTAAAAGTTCCAGTCTTTTTGTTTTGTCCCTTGTGATTGTACTCCTGTTGCATATCCTGGAAGATAGGGCTTTGTTGAGATAGCCGTCTTTACGACTTCCTGACTGGCCAGCTAGGGTTACCGGGACTTTTGTATTTTCCCTCTTCCTGACTTCTGCTGCTTCTCAGTGGTGGGTGTCTGAGTCTTTTCCCAAAATGTGGTTTCATCTTGTTGATTGGTTAGTTGATTACCAAGGCACTCTATAATGAAACAAACCTTGGGTATCAGAGCCGTTGAAATTGTGGTTTATGGAAAATGCAGGCTGTCTTAGAACTGAACCTTCTTAGGGCTAAATGATAATCCCACAGCTAATACTACTTGACAGAGTTCTCAAAATGTGCCGTCTTCCCATGACTGATTTTAGTCTATTTCTTCAGCTTGTAATAGCTTATTTTTAAATCTTAGAACCATTCTGGTGAAAATGCTGAGCCAAGCTGGGACAGGTTACTCCTTCAACACTAAGAGAAGCCGACTACGGGAGAAACTGACTCTCCTACATTATGATCCAATTGGTAAGATTCAGAGAAATTACTCCACAATAAATTCAGATGCTTTCAATGCCTGCCGCCCTTTCCAGACTGACGCTCAACTTGTCTTGGCGGTTTTGTAGGCCCTTTGACTCTCTAGCGTTCAGTCAGCAAGTGAGTATTGAACATTTACTGTAGTGCCAGTGGCTGTGCCAGGTGCTGGGATACACCAGGACACATTCAGGCTGAGTGTCTGCACTCTTGGTACTTGCAGTCTGGTGTGGAAGGGAGAAGAAGAAAGAAAAAATGATGTTCTGCTCAGTACTTTGAGGGACACAAGCAGGATGCTGAGATACAGTATGAAAGTGGGGAGAGGCAAATTCCACCTTTAGCCTAGCCTTTAGATAGAGTAGATCTGGGAAAGAAACCAGCCATATAACGAGAATAGGTGAGACTGTTCTGGAAACAGAAAAGAGTGTCTTCAGATGGGGAGGGAATATTCTCCTGGGATCGTGGAACAGTGGCAAGCGGTTAGGTCCAGATTTGAATTAAAGGAGTGTGGCATCTATATGTTAGTGCAGGAAGGCAAGAAGTGTCATTTTCCATTTTGTACCGTCTGCTAAAATGGCATAATAAATGGTAACTTTAAACGGTCTCAGTAGAGAGGCGCCTGGGTGGCTCACTCGTTCAGCGTCTGCCTTCAGCTTAGGTCATGATCCCAGGGTCCTGGGGTCCAGGGCTGTGTTGGGCTCCCTGCTCAGCGGGGAGCCTGCTTCTGCTTCTGCCTGCTGCTCCCCCTGCTTGTTCTCTCTCTCTCTCTCGCTAGCTCTTTCTGTCAGATAAGTAAATAAATAAATAAATAAAAATCATAAAAAATATATAAATGGTCTCAGTTGATAGAAGTGTTTGTCTAAAAGACACAAGTGTTCCCAAGGCCAGGTTGCCTGCTTACATACAAAAGATAGCAGCTGATTGCTATTGGTAGAAGCCCAATTTTGTTTTTGGATTTCATGAGCAGATTTATATCAAGTAAACTAGTAAACAAATTATTTGTTTTAAAACTTCAGGCCATTGGTTTCATTTTTGTGCCCTTGATTCTGAAGAGCTTCTTGATACTTGCTTCTGAATAAGAACTGTACTGGAGCTTCTGGGTTGGTGACTGTGCAGTGACTGTGGGAGAGTGACCTGCTGGGAGAGGGCGTAGAGGCTGTGTGCCCCTTCCCCGTACCTGCCCTAATGTGTCACTTCATCTGGCCGTTCCTGAATTACTAATCGCTGGTAGCTGGAAGCAAGATTTTTCTTCTTCTCCTTTTTTAAATCATGCTGTGTTATCTTGAAGTACAAAGATTCCAGTCACATCACTTGTAGACCATGTTACCCACTGCTCTGGCTGCCAGTCTCTTGTCTCTCTCCTAAGCAGTGGTGAGGCAGATACCCTTTCCACGGGGAAGAGAAATGATGGTTTGTTGCCTTTGCCAATAAAAAAAATGTTGGAGAGCTGGTGGCAAAGCTCTTGTATTGGCATCTTTCACGTGAACTATATCAAAAGAGCCAGAGTGTCTGTCTGTCGGTGGTCAGAGCGGTTCTTCCCAGTTAGCACCTCTGGTCACCGTACACAGATGACCAGTGTCAAACTTGATGGCTCCAGTCATCTTTGCAGTGTCCAGATCTGTCTGAATGGTGTCCTTCACCTTGATGAGGGGATCAGGATAGCAGATGGTACAAGCATCATGGGTCGCCAGGTGAGGGATTCCTTTTGTCCCCACAGAGATCTAACTCACTTTGCACAACTGCTGCTTGACCTCAGGTGTAACATGATGAACAGCAAAGTGACCCTTGGTGTCCTACGTCAGACGGAAATTCTCCCCAGGCTTGTCAGTGCTGAGGACATCCGTAAAACCCACAGCATAGGTTACATCAGTTCGGACCTTGCCATCAGTCTTAATAAAACCCTGCCCACAGATCTTTACTTCATCTCCTGTTAGGGTGTACTTAAGTCTGTTCCTTAGGAAAATGATGAGAGGGAGACATTCTTCTCAGTTTATGGGGACCAGCAGGTGGACGAGGAGCAAACACAAGAGTCAGTTCATCCAGCATCCAGTGCTGTGGACCGCCGCACGCTTCGGATACTTCTTGGGACCATAAGCCATGGCTGTGCTAGGCGTGAAAAGAGAACAGAATTGAATTGAATTGTAAGATACCCAGTTGGTGATCAGAATCGAATTGGTACTGCAATCTTATTACCCAAAATTAATCCATTGTATAACAAAAGATGGATACTTAACCTCATAATCACCTTTTTTATTAACTAAGAATGCGCACTCATAGACTCTCACTTCTGGCCAAGATGGAATAATAGGAACCGAATGTCCTTTCTCCCTGGAAACAACAACAAAAGGACAGTGTAGGCAATAAAAGACGGCGATCCCTGAAAGAAAGGAGACAAACTAGTGTTTGTGAATGGTCAGACAAAATGGAAAGTTCTATCTTGTTTGCTTACCTGCACAAGCCTCTTATCTTCAGATAAGAACACAAGCATCTGTACTCTCCAGGCAGTCTCTGTTCTACAGATGACGAATCTGATGCCAAGGATCTTAATCAAGGACACACAGCTAAAATATGTTACAGAGATTTGAACTCAAGATAGATGGACTCCGGGGTGCCTGGGTGGCTCAGTGGGTTAAGCCGCTGCCTTCGGCTCGGGTCATGATCTCAGGATCCTGGGATCGAGCCCCGCATCGGGCTCTCTGCTCAGCGGGGAGCCTGCTTCCTCCTCTCTCTCTCTCTGCCTCTGCCTGCTTGTGATCTCTCTCTGTCAGATAAATAAATAAAATCTTTAAAAAAAAAAAAAAAAGATAGTTGGACTCCAGAGCCCGGCCCTAAACCACTCTGTATAGGGACGTATTAATGAGAGGTTTCATAGGACACTAAAACCAGCATACCAGTGCATGACTTCTGGGCAGGATATTAGCACAAATCCTGGCTAACAGCTACATTCATAGCTGCCTTCAGAGTTGGTACAGAGGGTCTCATAACCACCATTGAACCATTCATTATGCTGCGTTCATCACTAAGAGAAATAAAAATATCACCTTCAAAAAAAAGATCTGTACCAGTGGGAAGAGGCATATAAAAAAGGCTCTGAGAAGCCCCGTTGTAAAATTGGATGATTTCCATTCTTTAACGGGGATAAAATTCCCTGCTATTTTTATGGTGTTACAGTTATAGTTTTGGTCATTCTTTACCATAATAAAAAAGGAATTCCTGGTTTGTACCTAATAACTGGGAGTCTGGATTTCAGGATGATGCCTCATATGGTAGAAAAATTAGAATGACAGGTATGTGTCTTGGTCCTTTTGGGTTGCTATAACAAAATACCACATACACTATTAGCTTATAAACAACAGAAATTTATTTCTCAGAGTTCTGGGGCCTAGGAGGTCCCAAGGGCAAGGTGCCAGCACGGTTGCTTTCTGGGGGAAGGCGTTCTTCCTGGTTCGTAGTCTGCCTTCTTGTGTCCTCACATGGTGGAAGGGCAGGCAAGCCCTTGTGAGGTCTTTATAGCGCATTAATCCCGCTCAGGAACACACCCTCGTGACCAAAACACCTCCCAGAGGCCCCACATCCCAATACCATTGTGTTTGGGGGTTAGGATTTCACCATATGAATTTGGGGCAGGGGGGCACAAATTTTTTCAGACCACAGCAATATGATACTGAGTTGGTGTGAAACTCTTCTCCCTCTGATTTCTTTGTATCAGCTAATAAAAACACAAAGTGATGAACTTTACAGTAAAGTAATTGTTTTTCTGGAGTTTAGCTCCTCTCGGGTTTATTTTTAGGAACTTGTGCAACATTCATGTTACTTGAATAACATTTTATATTTCCAGTATGAGAATGTATGAGGATTTTCATCCTTAGTGTAGAGGTGTTAGGAACTAATTATTTGTCAGATTGATTCTGAGTTTTGAGATTGGGAAAGGACACAGCCATGAACAGTTTGGTTCCTAAGTTGAAAGTGGGAGAGAAGATTCATATATAAATTTCAAACAGACTGTTAGAACTTTTCTGATAAGGAACGGTCTAAGCCTGGACAGCACGACTTTGTCTTTTCAGAAGAAGAGAAAGTTCTGGGATAGTGGACTGTCTGGCTTTCTGCCCACCTCCTGAATGCCCCACAGGCTAGCGTGCTGATGTTTGCCCAGGGGCCTGCCCTATTGCCCAAGGTACCAAATAGCTTGGCAGTCCTCCCAGTAGATGTTCCTGCAGTGAGTAGAATTAATTTAAGGGTAATGTTTTGTTAGTCTGCTTTATAAAGGAAATCAGGTAAGGACACAGAGAAGTTCCCAATTATTTGAGCATTTCATAATATAATCTGCCTAGAACCAGCTTCTGTCTTTTCAAACTCCTTTTCCTCATATAAAACAAGATGCTGATTTCCAAGGAGGATTAAAGGCTGAGGCGTAAACTTACTAACTTTGCTAAATATGTGAAGGCTAACCATAAAGAGAATGAAAACTTGTCAGTTTTGATTCCTTGGATGACTAAACAAGACAATATAGACTTTAATTGAAGCAGAATAGATTTAGGTTAGATATAAGGAAAGAACTTGACAGATTCATTCTTCTACGAATTAGGCAGCAAATATTTTGACAGAAAATTAGTTTCTGTTTATGATTATGGATAGCAGTGTGTCATTTCAACCCAACTGTATATCTGGCAACAGCCCTGTGAGGGAGTTGGAGTTATCCGCTCTTAGGGAAGCAAACTGAAGGCAGAACATTGTGAGAAATTTTTCCAAGGACTCACAGCAGATATAAATGGTAGAGCCAGGGTTTAATAAGCACAATCTTTTCAACTCCAGGCTCCCTATTTTTAAAAAATATTTTTTGTTTATTTATTGACAGACAGAGATCACAAGTAAGCAGAGAGGCAGGCAGAGAGAGAGGAGGAAGCAGGCTTCCTGCGGAGCAGAGAGACCGATGTGGGGCTCGATCCCATGACACTGGGATCATGACCTGAGCCGAAGGCAGAGGCTTTAAACCACTGAGCCACCCAGCGCCCCTCCCTATTTTTTCTATGACATGAAGCCAAATTAATTTTCCTATTACTATTTTTTTAATTGGGGAGTGCTATAAGGCATCAGAGGAACAGTGAAAACCTTACTGCTCAGCATCCAGTCTCTGATCTTTTCTTTCTTTCTTCCTTTTTTTTTTAAATTTAAGATTTTACTTACTTATTTGACAGAGAAAGATCACAGGTAGGCAGAGAGGCAGGTAGAGGGGGAAGCAGGCTCCTCGCTGAACAGAGAGCCCAATGCCACCGATCCCACGACCCTGAGATCACGACCCGAGCTGAAGGGAGAGGCTTTACCCGCTGAGCCACCCAGGCACTCCTGGTCTCTGATCTTTCATCCAGGCAATTAGTACCTTTTAAAATATTTTATTTTTATTTATTTATTTTAGAGAGAGAGAGAGCATGTGTGTCCACGCGTGTGCACACACACACACACACACACACACACTAACGGGGGAGGGGAAGAGGGGAAGGAAGAGGAAAAGAGAATCTTGAACAGACTTTGGACTGAGCACGGAGCCCGAAGTGGGGCTTGATCTCTGACCCTGAGATCATGAGGTGAGCTGAAACCAAGAGTTGAATGCTCAACTGACTGAGCCATTTGCCCCAGGCTATCAGTACTTTTGGTTTTGTTTCAGAGAGTGTACTCTGTTAGGGTATTTTCAATAATGAGATTTGGGTTATAACTTTGGTTCTATTACTGTACTAGAAAATCTGTATTCGGATATTACGTCATCTCTGGAAGTATACGATTTGATGTGTATGTATTTACTCCTGTAGCCAGACTGCCTTTTCTTCCTTGGTCTGCTCAGTTCTTGTTGCCTTTTTCTCTGGAGTCCAGCTCTCAGTCTGGTCTTGCTCATCGCCTGCAAGTGTGTTCCTTCACTGGGTACAGACATTGAGTGTTTGCCATGTTTTGTTCCTAGTTTTGTTTTTTGATTTGGATATTTCACATTGGGTGGGAAATAACCTTGTGGGGTACCAAAGACAGCACCGATGGGCTGGGGAGCCTTCCCTTGATTTCCTTCCCATTTTCTCTAGGTTTCTCTGGTCTCTAGGAACTGAGTTTGTAAATCTCTTCCATCCCCATGTCAGAGGAATAGTAAAATCAGAGAAAGGAGAGTACTTGTGGTGTGATACGTATATTTATTTAAAAATGGGTGATGAAAGCTTCAGTGTTCTGCTACAACCCATTTTTCTCTTTCAGTGAAAACAAAAGTTCTCTTTGTGGAACAGAAGAAAATACGTTCCCTATAAACAATGGATTGAAAATGAATTTGATTTATAAATGAGAAGACTGAGGGCGGGGTACTGATTCAGAAATTGTGCAGCGTGTTATAAAAGAAGAGGAAATGGCACGGAATCACTGCCTCCTGTGATTTGAAGGCCATTGTGAAGAAAAACAATGTACCGAAAGAAAGTTCTTCATATTAGGACATATATCATTGCATCACATTTATTTATCTTTCTGGATATTTTTATAGCCCTTAATAAAAAATATTAAAATAGCCTGTGCTATTGTCTCTTGGTGATGTTTTCCCCCACTCTTTGAAATAAAAAACAACTACAGCACTAAAGAATAACCATTGTTCGTATAAAAGAAAGTTTCCATAGCGAAACTTGTGCAAGACTTTCCAGTCTGCTCCTCTTTGTACCTCATAGGAAACGCAGAGTCAGTCTTCAGAGTGATCTTGAAAAAACTCCCGTGTAATAACAGAGACGGTGATGGTGAACAGGAATAAGAAGGGGGCCAGCCTTCGAACACAAAAGAAACCATCAGAACTTTTGTTTTGTGCTTATATAATTAGGAAAAATGACATAGGTCCATATTTTGAAACTCTAGTCACTGAAGCAGTAGCTGGGAGTTTCTAGGAATGCTTTGGACCCCCTTTATCTTCTAGATTTCCTTTTTTTTTTTTTTTTTTTTTTAAGGAAGAGCAATAGTGTATTTCCATAGAGCCGCGGTAGGGCTTCTGGGGCATGGCAGCACACAGCCAACCAATTTGGAAATCCCACCGATAATCCCTAATGTTCAGGTAAGACTGCACTATCCAGATTGACATACTTTCTCATTTAAGCTGTTGTTTCCTACAGATTTTCAGAAATACTCAGTTTTCTCCTCACATTTCTGACTGAATGTAAGAAGGTCAGCTTTTATTTTGAGTTTTGCTGGTTTGTATTCTAGACCATTTAAAGCATTTATGTAGAAGAATGATGGCTTGCCTACCATGCATCTTTTGTTCAGTCTCTGGTTCAAAGCTATAATAGGGGAGATCTTGGCTATTTTTTGGTTGAAACTACACAGAGTCATTTTGGGTTACAAGAAAAATCCTTCACCTGGTCCTACCTAAGCCTGCTATAAAGGGCCTGTGACACACATGAATCAACATTAAAAAAAAAGCAAACCAACAGCTTAAAATCTGGCTTAAATGACTTGTCTCTTCAGCACAAGCCCTGCATGTGGCCCACAGGTGGTGTTTACATTTTTAAAAAATCAATTGCTGATACTTAAGCATTGAAGAAATTTCAATAAACATCCAAACTTCTGGCTTCTCTCGCAAAACAGAAGCTTCTACAACACTAACCTGAATATCAACCGTCTCTCTTAGGACCTGCCTGAACAGCCCAATTCACATGCCCCCTTCTCTTGCTTAACATTCTCTGCTCGGACTCTAGACACTGTCGTCCACAAGCCCTGCTCTGTGGCGGACATACAGCATTCATGAACTGTTGGCAAGTGAGTTTGCTGATTCCTGGTCCTCGTAATGTTTGTACAGGTCCCAGTCGTGGACTCCTTAATTTTGGTTGGCTCTTGCAAATACACGAAAAGTGAAGAAATCATCATTATAAAAAAGTAAATGAAAGGCTGAGAATGACTTCAGAAATGAACATATTTGCAAAGAAAGGAGAAGAGGATCTTTTATAGTAAGTTGCTGGCTGAGAGAGGCCACCTCCCTCTCACCAGTCCATTTTATTTCCAGGTACATTTATTTTAGGGTTAGTAGCAATCAAAACAGATCAAGTGGCAGGTCTTTTTTGTATGGATAAGATGACTGTGTTCCTGCAGACTGGACACTGACAGCTGCGATGGAATTGGATCTCTTGAGCATTTCTTCCAAGGGCAGATTTGGGTAGTAAGCCAGGTAGAAGGCCAAAGCCCCCACGAAACTGTCACCAGCACCCTGTAATTAAAAGCACAGTTGTGGACATAAGCATGTAGTCACCTGGTGCCCAGACTGTAGTTGAGAAATATTTAAGTATACCTTTTATTGTAGAAGAGTTTTAGATTTACATAAAAAGTAAAAGGATAATACATAGGTTTCCATATACCCCACATCCGGTCTGGTAACTTCTGGTAACCTCTGGTAATATGGTGCATTTGTCATAATGAATGAAATGTTATTGATACTAGATGAACTCTGCTTTATTCAGATTTCACTAGTTTGCTTAATGTCCTTTTTCTGTCCCAGGATCTTCTCCAGGATACCCTGTTACATTTAGTTGTCATGTCTCCTTAGACTCCTATGGGCTGTGACAGTTTCTTGGACATCCTTTATTTTCTATGACTTTGATAGTTTTTTTTTTTTTTAAGATTTTATTTATTTGACAGAGAGAGACACAGTGAGAGAGGGAACACAAGCAGGGGGAATGGGAAAGGGAGAAGTGGGCTTCCCGCTGAGCAAGGAGCTGGATGGGGAGCTCGATCCCATGACCCTAGAATCATGACTGAGCCGAAGGTAGATGCTTAATGACTGAGCCACTCAGGTGACCTGACCTTGATTGTTTTGAGGATTGGTCAGATATTCTGCAGAATGTGCCTCAGTTGGAATCTGTTTTCCTCATAGTTAGGCTGTGGTTAGGGTTTTTGGGAGGAAGACCACAGAGGTGATGTGTCGTTCTCTCATCACATTTATCAAGGGTACATACTGTCAAGAGGACTTTGCCACTGAGAATGTTAATCTCGATTACTTGGCTGAGGCAGTCTTTGCCAGGTTTCTCCACTGTAAAGTTACTTTCCTCCCTCTTTTCATACTGTACTTTTTGGAAGCAAGTCACGAAGTGTAGTCCACGCTTAAGGGATAAGGCAGAGTATTATTTGGAATTCTCTATGGGAAATTTGTCTCCCCCCCCCCTTTGCATTTATTCAGTCACCTAATTATATCTGAATGAACTCATGGGTCTTTAAAAAATATTTTGTATTTTGGGCTATAACCCAGTACTATAATTATTTTATAGTAATTGTTCCAGCTTTGGCCATAGGGAGCTCTTTCAGTTGGCTCCTGTGTCCATTTGACATAATCCCATTGCTTTGTTTTTTGAGTGCTTTACTTTCTGATACTATAAAATGCTCCAGGTTCATCTTGTATATTTCCTGCTTTTGTCCTAGAATTAGTGGATGCAGTACGCGGTGAGAGCTATTCAGATATTATTTTCAAACTAACTGTAGGGACAAAACAGTCTCTCTCCCTTTTCTCTGAAGCTCCAAAGGTCTGAGTTGGTAAAGTACATATACGGACCCATAGAAATAGAAAATCCCAAAGTCTGTTGACTTCCGCCTCAGGGAGGGTAATACCTAGTCATGTGTTCACCGAACAAAAATCATTCTGGTATTTAATAGCTTTAAATCAGGTATTTAATAGCTTTCATTTTCCAGTTTTTCCCAGTTTGTTGTTCCTTACACCCAGGGGTTTTCATAACAAATCTTGAGGCTCTCCTTCGGCCTTCATGAAGAGCCTTGGCCTGCAAGATTGTTCCAGTTGCAATGGAAGTATTCAATGAGCTCTATGGCCAGGACAGTGACGGGTGCTAGTAAAGGGTTAGAAGACATTGTGGATTAAATGCTAAGTAGTGTGGCAGAGTTTGTAAATGTTATTGGATCCTAAGAAAGAGTTTGAAGACCGCCTCCTTGAAGAAGGGAGTTCTTCCAGATGAGACAGATTTATAGAGAAAGGAGGCCTCAAGGAACAAAGACACAGGAGGAGGAAGGAACAGAGTGAGCTCATGAGACAGTGAATGGCTTTAAGGAGAATGACATTTCCCCTTGTTTACACAGATAAAGCAGTCAGTATTAAACTTGCCAAGGAGTCATAATAACGCAGGTGTGAATTCAACACTTTCCTTCCTCCTATAAATGTTTTCTGAGGGCCCAGAATGTGTCAGGCACCATCTAGATGCTTTGCAATTGTTTATATTACTCTTTCCTGGTGGAAACAATGGAGAGAGACCCTGCTCTTGCCCTCCATTAGTCTACAGCAGAGCAAAGCAACAGTGTTAATATTTGGTTTTCTTATTTACAAGAAAGGGGGGCAGTATTTTCTCTTTTATGTATCTTTTAAATTATTGCTTAAGCTTTTTATAAGCTTATAGTTTTCCAAAAAAGACCTTAGGAGAATAAAAATATTTTATGAATAGGTAAGTCATATTTCTGTACCTCTCTCACATTTAACTTGTAGCCTAACCAGTGCAAAGGCACAGGGCTGCAGGGAAACATTGTAGCATCACTGCCAGAAATCAGTTTTGTTTTGTTTTGTTTTGTTTTGTTTTTTTTTTAAAGATTTTATTTATTGATTTGACAGAGAGAGATCACAAGTAGACTGAGAGGCAGGCAGAGAGAGAGAGAAAGAGAGAGGGAAGCAGGCTCCCTGCTGAGCGGAGAGCCCGATGCGGGACTCGATCCCAGGACCCCGAGATCATGACCTGAGCCGAAGGCAGCGGCTCAACCCACTGAGCCACCCAGGCGCCCCCAGAAATCAGTTTTATATAATACTGTCGTCTATTGGGCTGTTTAGCTAGACAAGATCTTTAGCAAAGTATAAAACACATTGTACGTATATCTGAAAAGACTATTGAAATAATTTAAATTGCTTCCCATTATAGCCAAAGCCAGGGAAACACAGTGTTTGGTGAAACTGTGTGTGTTGGAAGCATTATTTAGGCAACAGTGATTTTCACAACCTGATTTCCTTTCATTCTTAGTGCTATACACTGTGTTTGTAGAGACTGCAAAGGTCCCAAAAAAGAAATTCAAGAAACAAAAAGACAAAACAGATCAATGTTTCTCATAAGCTTAGATGCAAAAACCTTAAAAAAGTTTAGTAAACTCTGTGTACGTGTGTATGTATGCGTGCATGCATCTCATGACCAATAGGGTTTATCCCAGGAATGCAAGATTAATTTAACATTAAAACTAATTAAATTTAAAACTAATTAACATTAAAATATCAGTGTAGTTCACTGAATTAAAAGCCTTATGATAATTTTAGAAGCAGAAAAAGCATTTGAAAAAATTCTACATCCATTTATAATAAAAACTCAACAAATTTGAAATAGAAGGTATAAATTGATCTTCTTGATAAAGGGCATTTATGAAAAATCCACAGTTATCATCATACTTAATGAGAAAGATTGAATGATTCTCCCTTCATACTGGAAACAAATCAAGGATGTCTATACTCATTCTATTTGACATCATACTGGATTGCTGTTCAGTGCAATAAGATAAGAAAAGAAAGAAAAGTCAACAGATTTGAAAGGAAGAAGTAAAACTCTTTCTTAGCAGATGGTATAAAAATCCTGAGAAATTCAGCAAAAAAGCTACTAGAAATAGTAGATTCAGCAAGGTCATAGGACACAAGGTCAATATAAAAAAATCAACTGTATTTGTATATAGCAGCAATGAACAGTAAAAAATTTAAATTATCAAAACACACCACTAAGTAGCATCAAAAATATGAATTATTTAGGGTTAAATGAATCTGTGCAATATGAATGAATATGTGCAAAATGTATAACTCTTACTATGGAAAGTAAAAGAGATTAATGAAAACAAATAAATGGTGAGATAAACCATGTTCATGAATTGGAAAACTCAATATTGTTAACATGTCAATTCTTCTTAAACTGATGCAAAGATTCAGTGTAATTCCAATAAAAAATCCCAAGGTAGAAATTTTTAGAAATCGGTAAACTGATTTCTAAAATTTATATGGAAATACAAAGGACCTAGAGTAGATAAAACAATTTTGAAAAAGAACAAAGTTGGAAGATGTAAATTGATTTCAAGACTTACCATAAGATATAGTAATCAGACAGTGGAGATATTGATGTAAAGATAGACACTTAGATCACTTGAACAGAAAGAGAGTCTGTAAATACACCAGCAACTTATTTTTAACAGGTAATTCAGTGGAGGGAAGGATAGCGTTTTCAACAAATGATGCTGGAGGAAATGGATATCCACATGGAAAAACATGCAACTTCAGACCATACACAAACATTAACTCCAAGTGGCCCAGAGACCCAAATATAAGGGTTAAAACAACAAAACATCTAGACGAAAATTGAGGAGAAAATATCTGTAACCCTGTGTTAGGCAGATTTCTTAAGATATCAGAAGCATAAAACACTTAACTGATAAATTTGACTTTATCAAGATTTAAAACTTTAAAAGAATACCAAAAGACAAGCCATGAACTGGGAGAAGATATTTGTAAAACACATCTCTCATGGGGTGCCTGGGTGGTTCAGTTGGTTAAGCATCTGATTTTGGTTCAGGTCATGATCTCAGGTCATGCTGCATGCTCAGCAGGGAGTGTGCTTGTCCCTCGCCTTCTTCCTCTGCCCACCCCCTGCTTGTTTTCTCTCCCTCTCTGTCTCAAATAAATAAAATCTTAAACCCATATATCTGATAAAACCTTCTTATATTTCAATAGTGCAAACCCCAAGAGAAAAACCCCAATAAAAATTGGCAAAAGATTTGAACAGAGACTTCATCAAAGAAGATAGATGATGGCAAATAAGTATATAAAAAGATGCTCAACATCATTAAACATTAGGGAAGTGCAGACTAAAAACACAATGAGATAATACTACATACCCATTAGAGAGGCTAAATTAAAAAGACTGAGAATACTGACTTTTGTTCCAGTGGAACAGCTGGAATTCTTATCTGTTGTGGGAATGCAAAATGATACAGACACTTTGGAAAATAGTTTTTGGCAGTTTCTTCCATCATTCAGCAAACACTTATCATATAGCTTAGCATTTCCCTTTTTAGGTATTTATGTAGAGGAATGGAAACATATGCACATAAAGGTTTGCATGTGAATGTTTATAGGAGCTTTAAAACCGCTCCAGGTTGGAAATGATCCAGATGTCCTTGAACAGATGACTGTGGTACATC